TGAAATTTCTTCAATATTTGGGATTTCTTCATTGATTGAGTTTTTATTGGGGGGGGGGGGTTAAATTAACAATGGCACAAGATGAAAAGTCAGCAGAGAGACTAAATATAGTCCTTTTATCAGGGACAAGAATTTGTTGTTCCGGAGCCGCATGAGTGAGGGATGATTGTTTGGGTTAGTGCGGACAACTGCACCAATTTCGCAGTTGTTCTTAATGTCCATCACTGGTCACCAGATCTATCTATTTATGTGCTATTGATTTATTTATGTTCCCAGAAAATTTAAACCTCTTCTATCATAGTGTGTTGATGACATCAGCCTCATGTATATGTGGTTTTAGTCCCAGTGCCTTCAGTTCTCCTTGCATTCTGCATGTACAACTGCTCTTCTATTATTAAACATGGCCATGAATTCTACTGTTTGTTTATTTAATGATTCAGACAAACATTTTTTCCATGACTGCGGGATATGTCTTCTGACTTAGTTGCTTATGTTCCTTTATTAAAGGCCTATGAGGAAGCCACACCTATTGTGAGATGGCTTGGCAAGTACCAAGAGGGAGATGGAGGTTATGGGTCAACTCAGGTAAAACAAAAGTCCCTCTGACAGTTTATTATGTGTCTGTGTAGCAAAACCTTACCGATTTTTTTCTTTTTTTTTGTCAGTATAGAAAGACTCAGTCTAATGCATATATTCTTCTTCAGGCTACCATAATGGTGTACCAGGCAAGTTCAGAGTACTGGATCAATGCTAAAGAACCAGAGTATAATGTGAATGTAGACATCCTGCTACCCGGCAGAACAATGACTGACAAGTACAGCTTCAGCAAGGCAAATCGTTTTACCACAAGAACATCAAAGGTGAGCCGAGCATCTTGTTCAAACAAGTAAAGTGTGGTGGTGAGTTTGGGATTTGGGAATGGGGAAGAGAAAACTTCAGCTCTCGTTTCACCAAAAGAATTATTGGAGAAAAATGAAATTGAGGTTAAATGGGACATGAAGCAAAAACTAGTCCTGAACTTGCATGAGCCAGTTAGAGGTAACAACAATTTGGCAGCGAGTGAAGGTACAAGCCCTGCATGTTGATACTGGAACCAGGGTTGAGAGCTGAAGCCCAGAAAAATCCAAAGTGCCACTGGAAGGTGGGTCCAGTAAGAACACTTGACTCATATTTCCAGCTTAGAAAACAGAGAAAGAAGGAAAATCCAGACTGCACAGATCATGACAGTACAGCCTACAAAGACAATGTTACCGTACTAATCTTAGCCAGTTTGCTGCAGTAACTTCAGTTAGTTTAATATCTGTTAGTTGGAGCTGAGCTTAGTGTCCCTATCACTCATGTTGAGCCGTTTTTGCATCAATGAAACCAAATGTATAGCTAAACTTCAGGCTTATC